GAGAAGGGCAATATCGACACTCCTCTCGAGCTGGCCATCAGGAACGGCACTGATCGCTATAGCTTGGCGATTGATGCGCTTGACAATATCCCCAGCTTGGGTAACAAGGGCGCGGCGACGAGGGAGAAGCTGCTGGATGAGCAGATCAAGGCGAAGAACTATGCGTACCATGAGGGTATGGATCCTAAGGAGACGGAGGACTGGGTTTGGCCTTTCTAGATGCTCCCGTTGCAGTTGGGATTGAGTGAGTGATTGTGGATTCTTTCTTGTGGGCTGAGATTGAAAGTTACGGTCTTGTATGATACTAGGATTACGAATAATGCAGAACACTCGCACGTCAAATGAAGTCTAAAAGCGAAGCAACCGTAGAGTGGTGAAGAAATAGTCGATAATTTCTAAGATCTGACCTATGCAGAATGCAAAATGCAAGACAGCCTAAGCCGCCAAACCCAAAACGCCCTTTTCTATGCAGTGTGAATGTAGTCTACGCGGCGCACTGAGCGCGCATCCACAACCAAAACGCCGTAAACACCATGCTTGATGTAAACTCCAAAAGCGCAAACAGCGACAAAGTCAAGCCGAAGCTCTAGAAATCATAAGAAGTATTACCAACGCTCAACCCCAGTCTCATATTATCCACCGTCTTGCCCCCCACACCTTTCAGCATAGCCAGCGATTCCAAATCCATTATCTCAGCATCATCCATTTCAACCAGGCAGTTCACGATGTTATCCGCTTTCTTTGCACCGACACCCTTTAACGCTTTGATCTGGTTGACGTCGCGTGAATTGATGATCTTGAGGAGGTGGCTGGTACGAGGCGTTTGTTGGACAGAGGCAGAGGCGGAGTGAGACGGGAGATCGGCAGCAGTGGTAGTGGTAGTCAGAGTCGTAGTCGTGGTTGGGGCAGTGTCGTCGCGGAAGATGGGCAGTTTTTTAGTCGTCTTTTTCGGTTTGCGGGCGGGCTTGGATTTGCTGGTGTACTGGAAGCTGGTGTCGGAGGCGTAGGAGTCTTCGTGGTCGGAGGGAGGCGCGGGAGCGAATTCTTCGTCGTCTTCGGAGTCGTCTTTGTAGACCATCTTGGGCTTTGACTGTTTCTTTTCGACGGCTTTGAGGGGGGCCATGAGGAGGTTCGAGGGGGGCGCTGCGGCGGCGGTGTGTGAGGGTAGCTCTACGGGGGCGGAGACGTGCTTGGTGGTCTCTTCCTTCTTTGCGCGTATCCGGTCTTCGAGGGCCTTCATCTTAGATTCTAGCTTTGCGTTGCCGGGGAAGAAGGGCTGGGCCAGGTGGTACATCCTCAGTGCGCTGGCGTCCTCCCCGCGCATGTGATGTTGCTTCGCCATAAGAAGGAATTGTAGGCCCTGTGATTTTCCGTCCTCCTCGTGTGCATCGATACGGTGTTCCAGCTCATCCAACCGCTTTTGCAACTCTGCAGATAGCGCCGGCGCAGCGGTGCCGGCATCTTGCAATGCCTTCTCTGCTAGCCTCTCGTCCACCTTCTGTGCAATGAGAGCCTCGATCGAAGCCTTGGTTAGAGCGGGCTCTCTGTTCGGTATCCGTGAGGTGTTATCCCCAGTTCGGAATGCCTTCGTTGGTCGCGTTGCGAAAGTGCTGCTGGGTTCAGCCGCTCGTTTAGAACCCTCAGTTCTTCGCACTCCTTGGTTCTGCGCAAGGTTAGAAACGCGAGGAGCAGCAGCAGCAGCCTTGCGAGCGTCGGAGTATACGGAGAAGGCCTTAGTAGGCTTCTCGCCCTTCTTGCCCTTCTCCGGCTCCGGAATGTTGGCGTTGTGTGCGGCAGCGATGGACCGTAGCGGTTGCCGTGACATTGTTGCTCCGCCAACACTACTAGTTATCGCCAATGGTTTGACTGCTGTCCTGTACATGGGGTCGTTCTCCACCTCTGCGATCTCGATCTTCTTCGTCCGGCTAGCGAAGTTCAAGGAACTAATGGTGTCGAGGTGGTATGCGCGGGTCGGCGCAAGGTTCAGAATCATGACAGTTAAGCCCTTATTCTGACCCAGCGATAAGATTCTCGTCATCTTGGACTCGCGGTACGGGATCCGGCTGGCCTTCTTGTTCATAGCTTCTACGCATTGAGCAAGTACGAATAGCGACTTGTTGATGGCCGAGCTCTCGACCAGACGCTCCTTGTTGTTTTCTGTTCGTCGGTTGTCTTCGGATCCTGCAAGATCAATGCAGGATGCTCGGCTGACGCGAACCGTGTCTTCGGTGGTTTGCGTGATCTTCACGCAGAGAACGGCATGGGATCGGGAAGAATGCGCGTTGAGCTGCAGCATCATTAGCAATGTTTACCTCTAACGCGTGTAAAGCCTCACCTTAGTAGCGGATGTTGACCTGTTCATGTTGGCTTGGTCATAGAGCTGCTCAAACTCCTTAAGCGTTGTGCAAGGCTTCTCTGTAAGACCAACCACGACAGTCTTGCCCTTGTTGTCTCGGATGGGCAGGCCAGACGGGGTGCGCTTCTCCGGCGGTTCGAACAGATCGTAGACGCGATCGCAGTAGATTTCGAAGTATTCCAGGGCGACCTCGACGTGTGTGGCGCCAGCCGTGTCCTTCTCGATCTTCTTGCATCGTCGGTATATCGAGCTCAACAGTCTTGGAATGACACCGCGGTCCGCCAGCGACTTTCCTCCGCGCATCGTATGCGTCTTGCCGGTGCCGGTGCAGCCATGCGCGAAAATAGATAGATCGAAGCCATTGAACAGGTGCTTCACCGTCGGCGCGACTGGTTTGGAGTCAATTCAGGTCCGAAACGCGTCCGTCGCGAACTCACTCTCGGCATCGAAAAGCTGCTGCTGCGTCGCGTCCTGCTCGTACACAGAGCTGAATTGGAAGCTAAAGGACTCAGCCTCGTTCTTCGGACTCGGTATCCGCACGACCGCCGGGGTGGTGTCGCCCTCCAATGTCTCGGCGGTGACGATGGTGTCTTTGTCGAGCTCCTGTTTCAGTAGAGGACGTATCCTCGCGACGACGCGTACGCTCATGGTGCAGGCCGGCAAGGAGGATGGCGATAGGGTGAAAAGATACGAAAAACTCTACGTCTACAGAGAAAGGAATGCCAGACCAACCGTACGCGACGTCGAGACTCGAGGCTCTGGCGACATGCAAAGGGCCTGTCCTAGCGTAAATGGCGGTCTGTGTTGTCCTTCCTTGTCGAAACTCGCCTGTTGCCCCGAGCGACCCTCACCCGCCCAGACGAATGAACATCGGGCACGTGCAAACCCGCCAACACATCTCGATCCACTACAATATTGTCGATAGCTATAGCTGATGCTTGCAGGCATCCAGGTCGTCTTCTATCGTGACCTCGACCTTGGTGTTGTGGAGAAATCCCCACAGCGTTCCGGTCTCTTAACGCATCCAACAGCCGACAGACAGCACATACTGCATGAAGACGCGGAAACCGGCAACACTTGACAAACTCGGACCGCGGAATCGAGCCTCATTCCGAAGAGCTATTTCTGGCATATGGAGATCTGGAGGCTCTGCGCGGGTAGCAGACGTTCGGCGAGGCGCTTCAAGGTCGTGGGCTCGACGAGGCCATGCCGCCATCTCATTGGCCCGAGGATGAAACATGTACCCAGCGCATCAGAGCACCACAGCCACTCCTCCAGTTACCAGCGCTACTTTCCTATGGAGCTTGAGTGACACGCCCAAATTACAGGCAACTGGAGCCATGCTCGGCCAGTACTACTCTTTGTTCCATTGTATACTCAAACCGTGCTCAAGGCGGCTAATGCAGCTTCAAAACCCGATGCCAGCCCGCGTAGCAATGAGACACCGCCGTAGCCATCTGAACGTTTAGCCTGTGGTTTGCTTGAGACGAACGATTTTCGTTTCTTTCCTAGGTGTCTTTCCTTACCGTCTGTTTCTTCTCCTTGTCGATCGTTTCTCTTAATCGTTCACTATCTCAGTTTCGTCCTTCAGTCCATCGCTTCCTTATTCTGCCTGCAAGCGCCGTCTTTCTCCTTCATCCACTCTTAATAATTTGTCGTCTTGACGATGGCTATCTTCTCCACAATTCTGCTGCTGGCAGCTTGCTCTACATCTATAAACGCTGGTCCAGTTCCAAAGAACCACCGACGACAACTGTGAGGAATACAGGCATATGCTCGAGAAACAAGCACTGACTTCGTGTAGTTTTCCTAGTTATGCCAACACTACTTCAACAATCGCGTCAACATCAAGGCAGCAAGTCGCAGAAGCAGAGACTGCTATCATAGTGGAGCCCATCAAGCAAACCATCTTCTCTTCGATAGCACCAGCTATCACCTTCGTTCTTCCTGACGGGAAACCACTCGTGACACAAGATCCGCAGACTGTGTTTTCTACTTCGTACATCACACCATCACCTCTGCCAACCACAGAGGAGACTTCAAGCGCAGCGGCCACATCCTCAGTAACACCAAGTCCGAAACCAACGCCCACAGAGAGCAGCGATGTGCCGGTATCGTCGGCATTGTCAAGTTCGGTTGCCGCTGTGGAGAACAAGACAGCAAGCGAGACAAGTCGAAAGGCTCCTATGTTCACCTACTCGCCCATAGAAGAGACCTCCACATCGCTTGCCACTCCAACCGTACCGGCGTCAAGTGCTGTCCTAGCATCTACCACAACTGCACCGGTGACGAGTGCGGTCCAGGGACCTACCACTGGCGGTTTGCCTGGCTTCACTCATCCCGGTGCGGCACCCTCAGGCTCGCCCTCTGTCAACACCACCACCAGTGCGATTATCACCAGCCTATCTTCTGTGATCGAGTCGGTCATACAAGCGCCATCTTCCACCCCTCTGGTCAACTCAACTTCTCTGGCAATTCCAGCCCCTGTATCGAGCGAATCGTCTACAGCTATCCTCCCCTCAGAGACTGCTTCAGACACCATTGATGTAACATCGCGCATCATCGTCACGCAATACACCACTATCTACGCGACATCCCAGCCGCCTCAAAAATCTACTCAAGAGTCAGTCATGCCAACTGAAGCTCAAGAGTCTGCTCCAATAGCCTCTCCAACATCAGAAGTGGCTGGCACTCCCATGCCCGCTCCATCAAACGCCCCGGCTGAAGTATCCCCATCAGCATCCCTCCAGGTACCGCCTGTAGTGATCGTAACATCGTACACTACAGTCATGCCGACAGCCACACCACAGCCAAGTGGAGCACCCGAAATACCCGTTTCTTCCGCCGTACCAGAGCCAGTCATATCAAGCTCAGTGGCCTTGTCCTCTACGCTCGCAGCTTCGTCTTCTGAAGTAGCAATGCCGACACCCACTGAACCCGCACCATCATCTTTGACATCGAAGTTTCCTGTGCCTACTCCCACGCTATCGTCTTCCGCTGCACCAAGCATGCCACCCGCCCCCTCAAGCTCAGCACAACCATCACCATCTTCCCCCTCTATGGCACCGCCACAAGAATCTTCAGCGCAATCTTCTTCATCTTCAATCGCGCCACCCCCAGCGGTCTCCGCATCCGCAACGGCATCCACGTCCGACGCCGTGCCAACACCACCAGCACCGACCGAAATGCCATCATCGGCACCACCACAGCCAGAGCCGGTACCTTCATCAACGACATCAGAAGGTCCGTTGATCATCACGCCGATACCACCGAGTCAGATATTCACTGTGACGGTTACTGCGTCGCCGACTGGGAGGGAGACGGTTACGGAGACAGCTACCGTAACTGTGACGGCTTAAAGAGTGCGGGATGGGGATGGGAGGTGTGAAAAGTTTCTTTTGATGTTGAAGCGGTCGCTTGCGCTGGCTTGCATGGAAGGGGGAGGAAGTAGTTTAAATTTGATACCCAAGATTTGAGAATTATTTTTGTTACACATGAACCACTTGATTCCTTGTAGCAGAGCTGCAATCGTGAAGTCAATATTGAGAAGACGTATGAAACGTTCGGAAGCATGAAGATAACCTGATTACTGGCTGCGATGAAGTGCAATATCCAATTTCAAGCTTGCTGGAGATCATTTGCGCATAGGATGCAAAGCATACTCCCACAACGCTCGCCTTCACATCTTCAACACTTCGAGTAGATGAGTTTACACTTAATACCCACTCTGTTCCCTCCTGCCACCGCCCTCAGCCCCACCCTCCGCGTCATCATCCCTGTTCGCCTTCGCATCGCCAGCAGCTTCCTGAATACCCTGCGCATCACCTCTCAACTTCTCAAAGTACGCCTTGACATCCTCTGCACCAACAGCCTGACCGGACTCGGCGAACGGCTTCAAGAACGCCGAGACCTTGTCTTTGAGATGCGCATACGCCATTGCACCCTGGATAGCACGCACGCGGTCCATGTTGTTGAATGCGGCTTCACCACGATCGAGAATACTTCCTGTACCGACGGACTGTCCGCCTTCTTCTCCGTCTTCGGAGACGGGGGGCTCGTACGTGTCTTCCTCTTCGAGGAGTTGCGGGTGGGCTTTCAAGTGTGGGTAGCAGGCGTCGCAGTGGCAAAGGTGGTCGCGGAAGTCGGGCTTGAGGAAGAGGGAGAAGGGTGTGGTATGTGCGGTGGTAGGAATAGGAGGGAGGGAAGCGTGCTTGGGGCCTTCTGGTGCTTCTGGCTTCTTGGGGGTTATGGGCAGCGTCGTTGTGTCTTCGGGGATGCTGGAGAGGGTGCCGCTTGGATCTTCGGACTTTTGGCGCTTAGCCGGAGCCGGAGCTGTCAGGTGGGATGATGTCTGCTGCTCTTCGTCTTCGTCGGAAGCTTTGCGTTTCTTAGAGTCCCCGTTGCTGTTCTCTGGGGCTGAGACGGCGGATTTCTGGGCATGAGAAAGCGCTATGGCTTTGTCGTGGTAGACTGGTGCGAGGAACCCAGTTGAGCCAGCGTACTGTTTAATCCATGGATTGGCCTCGACGCACTTGTAGCAGAGGAAGTGATCGAAGTCGTCTTCTTCAGGGAAGCCTGGGGGTAGCGGCGGATCGTCGTCCTCTTCTGCGCCAGCATCTGCTGCAATGTCGTTGCCATCAACCCCATTGCCATTTGTCACTGCAGCTGCGATGTTCGCTGGAAGTGATGCCGTATTCTCGTCCGCGTGCCCGTTGGTCTTGGTGTCATCTGTTGCGGGCTTGTCGGTCTCCATCGCATCTACTTTGTCATTCTTCTCTTCCACTTTGGGCTTCTCGATCATCTTGCTGTACTCCGCCCGAGTGAAGCCTACGAGGCATTCAGGGTGCCACCAGTCTTCACCACAGCCGCCCTCCTCGCAAGTCCCAAGTCCGAGACATTGGAACATGGTGCCCTTCTCTTGTTGAGGATCATAGTCCTCGCCGCAGCCACAGAATTTGTTCCTGAAGTTCTGGTTGTACTTGTTCGTCTTGGCTGGCTCTTCGCCCGTCACATCGCCTTTACGTCCAGTTTCTGCGTTGAGACGAAGCGTGCATGGCGTCATATCCGGTATCCTGGTAGTTCCACAGTCGCATATGAAGTTGCGCTTGTTGAAAAGCTCAACAAGGGTGTGTTCGCCATGGCAGGAGATGGAGCATGAGTAGCAGACGCCTGCTGGAGTGTATTGCTGGGCAGACGATGCGGGCGCGGGGTTGCAGGTGAGGCATGCGTAAAGGCTCTGTCGCAGAGGGCCGAGGTCGCGTGTGCAGGTATCGAATTGCTGTTTCTTGTCAGTCGAGGCGCATTCGGAGGATGTGGGTACTGACGTAGGGGAGAGCCTCGCGTGCTTCTGCCTCGAGGCTAAGTTGCTCTTTGATAAAGCTGACGGAATTGATTTAGTCTCCATACAGACAAGAGCATGGAAGACACGTACTCAGCCGCTGTTTGTGAGCTCTCCGATGCTTGCGATATGCTGCTGGTGCGCGGCTTCTCGGACATGGTCGTTGACTGGGAATCCGCCATGATTGCGATAACGCGCAACCACTTAATTCGAGATGGAAAGCAATTCGATGTAGAGCACAAGATCAAAATTCGTCAGAATGCGAGATACTAACAGAGTAAATTCGGTCGTGGAAGTGCGTGGGAAACTTTGGTGTGAGCAGTGAGGAAGGCGCTGGATGCGCCTGATCGCTGATTGGCTACCGCATCACCACTTTACGCGTGGAAAAGGAAAGCGCGACGCGGTCGTGTCGCTGGCCCTTACTACCCCTTCTCCCGCACCCTCAACCCCGCTTCGCAGCCCCATATCACTTTACTTTATCCCGGTGATACCAGTAAAGAACCGTGCTTTAAGTGAACATGAGGTATGTGTCTCAGGTTCGACGAGACTCGTAGGCCGAGCAACGACGAGCCCCTCTTTACCACAACAACAAGATATTGACGAACACTAGTTCACCACCACCACCCCTTCGCTCCAACATGTCGTCCGCAAACCGTGGCGTAGGCCCTAGCAGCAGGAGCAACAAACGCGCAAGGGACGATGACGATCTCCCCTCCTCAGCGGCGCATCCGCCGTCCAGCCGTGAGTGCGACGAAAACATGCGACACAACAATGGCTAATCAAGTACAGCAATGGCCTCGTCGCCACCTATGCTCCCACAAGACGACGATGCAGACATGCTCGACGATGACGACATCATTCGCGACGTAGACGATCTCGACGAAGACGCAGAAGAGGCGGAAGGAATTGATCTGTTCGCCGACGACTTCGAGAACGACTACGGAGCCCGCGAGAACGATGCCTACGAAGGCCAGGGCATCGATGACGAAGGCGACTATGAAGAACTCAGTCTTGCGCAGAGGCGAGAGCTTGATGCGCGACTTAACGCCCGCGACAGAGAGGCGAGACGTCGCATGCCTGCTGCTTTCCTGCCAGATGAAGACGAGACGGATGGCCTTGCAGGTCTGATGGGACGCCGTCGTGTTCGGAGAAATCGATATGACGAAGAAGACGACATGGACATGGACAACGACATCATGAACGAGGAATTGACGCTGGAGGCACTCACCGATGTCAAGGCCAACACCCTGACAGATTGGGTGGCTCAACCTCAGGTCGCCAGAACCATCGCGCGCGAGTTCAAGTCTTTCCTGACAGAATATACCGACGAGCACGGTCACTCAGTATACGGAGCCCGCATCCGAACCTTGGGAGAGGTCAACGCTGAGTCCTTGGAAGTCTCATTCGACCACCTTGCAGAGCAAAAGGCTACCTTGGCATACTGGCTGGCCAACACGCCCACCGAGATGTTGAAGATCTTCGACCAGGTGGCCATGGAAGTCGCTCTCCTCCACTACCCAGACTACGAGCGTATCCACTCCGAGATCCACGTCCGTATCACCGACGTACCTGTTCAATATACACTCCGCCAGCTCCGTCAATCGCATCTCAACAGTCTGGTTCGTGTGAGTGGAGTCGTCACCCGCCGAAGCGGAGTCTTCCCTCAACTCAAATACGTCAAGTTTGACTGTACTAAGTGCGGTGTCACTCTGGGTCCCTTCCACCAAGATTCAAACGTTGAGGTCAAGATCTCTTTCTGCCAGAACTGCCAATCACGCGGTCCTTTCACCGTGAACTCCGAGCGGACAGTCTACCGAAACTACCAAAAGCTCACCCTACAAGAGTCTCCAGGTACTGTGCCGGCAGGACGTTTGCCCCGTCATCGGGAGGTCATCCTTCTTTGGGACTTGATCGACTCGGCAAAGCCTGGTGAGGAGATTGAAGTCACCGGCATCTACCGTAACAACTACGATGCGGCTTTGAACAACAAGAACGGTTTCCCAGTCTTTGCAACTATCTTGGAGGCCAACTACGTTGTCAAGTCTCACGACCAGCTGGCTGGCTTCCGGTTGACCGAAGACGATGAGAAGGAGATTCGACGACTGTCCAAGGACCCTCGCATTGTGGACAAAGTCATCAACTCGATCGCTCCAAGCATCTACGGACACACTGACATCAAGACTGCTGTGGCACTCTCTCTGTTTGGAGGTGTCAGCAAAGAAGCTCCTGGTCGTCACTCGATCCGTGGTGACATCAACGTCTTGTTGCTTGGAGATCCCGGTACTGCCAAGTCCCAAATTCTGAAGTATGTCGAAAAGACCGCCCATCGTGCTGTATTCGCCACTGGTCAGGGTGCTTCCGCGGTTGGTCTTACTGCTTCCGTCCGTCGTGATCCCATGACTAGCGAGTGGACGCTTGAGGGTGGTGCGCTTGTACTTGCCGATAAGGGTACCTGTTTGATCGACGAGTTCGACAAGATGAATGACCAGGATCGAACATCCATTCACGAGGCCATGGAGCAACAGACTATCTCCATCTCCAAGGCTGGTATCGTCACAACCCTTCAAGCTCGCTGTTCCATCGTAGCAGCTGCTAACCCCATTGGTGGTCGATACAACTCAACAATTCCTTTCTCGCAGAACGTAGAGCTCACCGAGCCTATCCTCTCTCGATTTGACATTCTGTGTGTCGTACGCGATACTGTTGACCCAGCAGAAGATGAACGTCTAGCCAAATTCGTTGTAAACTCTCACGGCCGTGCTCACCCACTTGTCAACTCAGCATACGGATACTCTGACAAGGCAAAGGCGACACAGAACGGCGACGACCAAATGGAAGTCGACGGTGACGCACCAATCAAGGAGGGTGAGATTCCACAAGATCTGTTGAGGAAGTACATTCTTTACGCGAGGGAGAAGTGCAGACCCAAGCTTTACCAGATTGAGCAAGATAAGATTGCCCGTCTATTCGCAGACATGCGCAGAGAGTCTATGGCAACTGGAGCCTATCCTATCACCGTAAGTTCACACCATTGCGTCAGTAAATTATTCACTCACAACTACAGGTTCGCCATCTCGAAGCTATCCTACGTATCGCAGAGTCTTTCTGTAAGATGCGTCTCTCCGACTATGTCGCATCGGTAGACATTGATCGCGCCATTGCTGTTGCAGTTGATTCCTTTGTCGGATCACAGAAGGTCAGCGCAAAGAAGGCGTTGGCAAGGGCTTTCGCCAAGTACACCTTGAACAGGCCCGGCGCTGTTAGTGCACCGACCCGAGGAGGGCGGGCGCAAAGAGCAGCAGCATGAGCATATTCCCGAAATATCGAAAGTGCACTATGATGAAGGCCTGATAGAGGCGCGAGTGAGAGGAGTTTGTGGCATGCGTCTTGATTAACGGCGCCTGAAGATGCAATGATACCATGTTGGAAAGCGTTATCTGTCTACAGACATCTGTCTACATGTACTGGGTGCTTGGAGTTGACAGTAAAGACTATAAACTAGATAGGACATTAAACAATGCCTTGTTATAAGTTCACATAGGATGCACAGTAAAGTTAGCAAGGGCAGCTGAGGATGCGCACAGAATTCATGCAGGTTTTACCGCGATCGTGACATTGCCTTCACTCCAAAAATTGTTTCGGAAGCGTTCTGATGATGAGCATACAAGTAACTCACGATCGGCTTTGACTCTTGCACAAGTCATGAAGATGGGGTGTTCAGTGCTGGCATGATGGGTCGGCTGAGTCACTAGCGTTGAACAACTCTTGGCGCACAAAGCATTTTGCGTCGCGCTACCACCCCAATTCTCTTTCGACAACCCTCACGACCGGAGCTCAACAACCCTTTAGGAATACCACATTCGACTTCCTACGAGCAACGATGGCCCCCAAGAAGAACAAGAGAACCGCCGACTCCATCAACTCGCGCCTGGCGCTTGTGATGAAGTCCGGTAAGGTCACCCTCGGCTACAAGTCTACCCTCAAGAGCCTGCGCACTGGAAAGGCCAAGCTCGTCATCATTGCCGGAAACACCCCTCCTCTGAGGAAGTCTGAGCTCGAGTGTAAGTATATTCTTCTCTGGGATCTATGCGCAATCGCTAATTCTTCCTAGACTACGCCATGTTGTCCAAGACCTCCGTCCACCACTTCTCCGGCAACAACGTACGTACCGCACCCCGTCCGCTCTCATTGCCTAACGACAAGATACCCTGAGCGCTACGAGACTCGTTGTTCTCCAGTTACTAGCTGTGGAGAACATACACAAGAACGCGACGATAACGAGCTCCTGCGCGCTGGGTATGCTTCGAGGGCTGGCTCTGAGAAGAGGTCTGAACATGGCTTCGGAGAGCAATCAGCTAATACTAGTCTAGATTGAGTTGGGCACTGCTTGCGGTAAGCTCTTCCGCTGCTCCGTCATGTCCATCCTCGATGCCGGTATGTATCTCCCTTTCTGGTTGCACTATGACATCCGCTAACACATTGACAGGTGACTCCGACATCCTGTCCCAGAACACCGAGAACTAGAGTGTTATGACAAATGGAAGGGGCGCAGTTAGACATGATACCTAGGCATGGCGAAAGCTATGTCCTCGATGATATCCAATGAATGCAAGATTTCATGAGCCATCCTGACGGTCCACATTTGCACCTGTGACGTGACTCATTCATGCATACTTGCACGTCCTTCTGTTACCCTAGTGCTTACAGACAAAACTGTCGCAAGATTATCATGCGCCAGTCCCGGGTGTGCAGCTCTGAGTATACCACGTCTTGAGGGTACACAACGAGGTCTGCATTGATGCTATACGAAAGATCACAGCGTATTCTCGCTGGACAGACTTCCAGTGCTCATTCTAGATTACGTAGATGAGCATCTTTATGCAATGCATCCAAAGCACGCAAGATCTTAGCTCCCTGACCTACTGCTAGACTATACTTTGGATGTTTTTGGGTTTCGGGTCGGGCATAACATGCTGAAACATGCTTCTTTGAATCGGCTATGCGAGGTCGCTCGGTACTTCTGATTTGTAATGCACACAAACAGATACCATGAGGATGTACAGAATGTCAAGTTGTATGGATGTAAGAATACAACTACGGGATATAATAGAGGATGCTATCGTAGAGGACAAGTGCCTTAATCACGTCGCTGCGCGCATCCCCATAATTGCACTTTTGCCGTCTCGGGAAGTGGCGTGGCGGGTGCTTTGAAATCGGATGGGGCGCTAGCTTACTCAGGTCGTAGCGTTCGTGTGGGCAAATATTCGCTTAGCAATCCGGCGACGACTTCCCTCGACGCCTCTGACACTCACCTCCTACTAACACCATAAATACAGGGTAAGGTACGTACGGCTGTCGCATTTATCCCCGCTGGAAGACGTCTTACTGACAGCTGCACCAGTTTGCGCTCGCCATCATTCTCCGCGCCTCCTGGACACCCGCTCATTGATTTCAAAGCAGGAACAACCGTCACAATGGCTCGCCGTCCCGCCCGTTGCTACCGCTACTGCAAGAACAAGCCCGTACGTCACGATGGAGATATCGCGAGAGGAGGATAACAGGCTGACTGGGCCGTAGTACCCCAAGAGCAGGTTCAACCGTGGTGTTCCCGATGCCAAGATCCGCATCTTCGACCTTGGTCGCAAGAAGGCCAATGTAGACGACTTCCCTCTCTGCATCCACTTGGTCTCCAACGAGTACGAGCAGCTGTCCTCTGAGGCGCTCGAGGCCGCCCGTATTTGCGCCAACAAGTACTTCGTCAAGAACGGTGGAAAGGAATCCTTCCATCTCCGTGTCCGCGTCCACCCCTACCACGTCGTCCGTATCAACAAGATGTTGTCGTGCGCTGGTGCCGATAGATTGCAGACGGGTATGCGTGGCGCTTTCGGCAAGCCCAACGGTCTTGTCGCTCGTGTCAACATTGGCCAGATTCTCATGTCCGTCCGGACAAGGGACTCTAACCGCGCCGTCGCCCTTGAGGCTCTCAGGCGTTGCCAGTACAAGGTATGTTTGGAAATGACGTCAGAGATGATATGTGCTAATTGGTTGTTAGTTCCCCGGTCGCCAGAAGATCATTGTCTCCAAGAACTGGGGTTTCACTCCTCTCAAGCGCCAGGAGTACATTGACCTCCGCCAAGAGGGCAAGGTCAAGATCGACGGTGCCTACGTCCAGTTCCTCCGCAACAAGGGCAACCTCGCCAACAACATCCGTCGCTTCCCTGAGGCTTTCGAGTCCTCTGCTTAGGTTTTGGATTGAGGGATGAGTTGTGTGCATGACATCATGGGTCCAATGGGAATTCGGTTACGGCGTGATTTGCTTTCTTCATCAGTCAGGATGAAGGCTGGAGGGTGAACATCTGCGGCGTGTAACTGTAGAGAACGACCAGACACAGCCGGACAATGACAAATGATACAACAACGCTGTGCCCCATGATTGTGCTTGTTTATTGTAGTTGTCTAACTGCTGATTGCATACGTCACTCCTTGGACAAGATGTTCCTGATGAGCGGTTTATGGTGGTTGTCGTCCGAGAAGTCACGGTACAGCATGATGTTTGTGTGTTGCTCGAATGATTGCTATTGATCTCTACTAGTAATGGTCCGATGCTAAAAGTGGTATAAGTTCCCAACCCAGACACTCCAATCAAGAACGCCTGCCTATTCCCATATAACCAAAGGCAAATGCAATATGAACGTGTAGTTCAAACACCAACACCAGCGCCTCGGCCTTCAGCCTGCGCACGAGAAAACTGCTGCAAGAGCTGCAGTACACCACCGCGATTGTTGCCCGGTGCTTCCTCCTCGTCATCATCATCTTGTGCAAGTCGACTCGTTCGCCACGAGTCACCCAGTGTACTCTCCTCCTCAATACGTGTATTCGACGGGCCAGGTGCGTCCGGCACAGCTTGCAACGGCGTCCGATACCTACTGTTCGGTGCCTGACGTGGCGAGCCGCGGAGTATAGACGCAGAAGAAGGCTGGTGGTGAGGATCCAGAAGAACAGAGTTCATGGGTTCGTCCCTAGCACCCGTTCTATGTCTCGGTGTCCTCTGCTGGAGATTCTGGCGGCCAGTCGGGCCTCTGCTCGTTCCTCTGGCACCCATTTCAACGGGCTGAGCAGTCTGCGACATGGAACCGAAGGTATTGGGGAACTGTGGCGGAGGGTGGAACTGGCTTCTGCCTTGGAGACGACCGTTGTAGCCACGTCCCGGGTTCTGGTATGTGTCCAGGAAGCCGTAGTAGGATGCCATCATCTTGTTGTCCTTGGCCATGAAGTAGTCTTCCCGGAGGTCAGGATCTTCTCTCGGGGCAGCAGCTCCGTTTGCTGGAATGTTGTTGGCGTTGCGAGTGGTCTTTGTAGAGGGGAACATGGAGTACGAGCATGTCACGCCTAGGCCGTCGACTACAATCGAAAATTCGCGGAAGAAGTCGACGATACGCTCGCTGCAGGCTGGTAACCTGAACATGAGCAGGAAAGGCGTGATGATCATGCTGAGTATCTCTTCGGCGAAGATGACAATCTTGGGCTGGTACAGTTGAGCGAACTCGGCGCGAACTTCGTCGGTGTGTAGCCTATCACGCCACGACTCGGGCTCATAGCGCGTGTGGTAGATGACATGTTGGAGGTAGTAGGATGGATCTGCGACCTGGTCGTCTTGAGGGCTGCTTCCACGTGCGACACGGTAAATCGTACTAAGAATACCGATCCAGAAGATAGCTGTTTTGCCCGGTGTGATTTCAAAGTTGAGGAAGAGCTCCGAATCCATAAGAGTGAACACCACAAGGACGAATGCGAAGGCGCCAGCAATAAATGCGACAAATGACGAGACTTGCTCGGTTTTGTCTTTGGGGAACTGGGCAAGGTAGAGGTTTGCGTACGGATAGGCCATGTTACGGCGGCGGGCGAAGTAGTGAGGCAGCTCGTTGAACTCACGGAACTTCCACTGAGCGAAAGTAGTGAAGTCGCGGTTACTGAGTTGGCCTGGGTCCTTGTGGTATTCGGTGAAGTATTTGAACATGTACGAAGCAAGCACGAACACCACAGCGAAAGGTGCGCAGAGGATACTGATGATGCCAGTCCAGAAGAAGCGAGTTTTCAGCCTCTTTACGAGCTCTCGGCGGTTGCGCTCCTTTAGGAAGTCAGGGTTGAACTGGCCGTTCGGTCCACTGAAGACGAAGTCCATGATAGCGAGATTGACATGCCACCTCGTGGTCTCCGAGAAAATGTATCGATTGCCAAGGAAGGGAAGCGGAACGGTGACATCCAATATCTCCTTGTTGAAGAGGGCGATCAGGTAGTTGTCACGACGCATCAGGCGACCCGCGATGTCGATAGCATCTAGTCGCTGCCTGCTCTTCGAATCGAGTAGCTTGCGCGTCTGCGGAGACAGGTTCGAGGCGGTGGTCAAGTTCAAGTCCCGCAAAGCCATGATGCGCGTCACCACCTGCTGCCACTGTATGGTTTGTATGTCGCGGTCGGGGATATCGAGCAAGTAGTGGTAGAAGTCGTGCGTGGCTCGAAGCCGGGGTATATCGGTAAAGAGGTTGTAGAACGTGTAGAGCCAATAGATGATGAAGACCCAGAGGCCGAATATCCAAATTCCATGGATCCTACATCATGTCAGCTGGGAAGTAATTTCGTCGTACGCATTTACTGACTTCGCTGCACACTTTGGCACCAAGACCTGCTCCATCTTGTTGCTCTTTGGCAACTTGGAGTAGTCGATGCAGAAGCCAAGGAACGTCATGAACCCGACTACGAAAGCGCTCCGAGCGAGCGTCAAAACCCGGGCTAGGAGGATGGAGTATATGCCGCAGCCGACAAAGTAATCGTACACCTCGGTCATGTAGTTGTCCAGGTCCATCTGATTCACCCACAGCCACAAGGCCTTCTCCTTGCGGTCGGCGGCGAAATGCCCAGGTCTACTGGTATGTCCCCACGGCCGCGAAGGTGCGCCGTTTCCGTCCTCGTCGTGCAGCCGCTGTTGGTTCCGTGTAGCATCCCACTGCGCCCGTGTTTGTCGTGTGGCTGGGCCAGGTACTGGCATAGGAAGGCCTTCGTTGGGCTGAGTCGATCTTGGCCCCGGCTCATGTCCTCCTTCGAGAAGTAACGACTGTGGGACGTCGTCATCGTCATCCAAGGGTACAGTGCGGGATGGCGCGGGTTGCCTCCAAGCCGGCATGCGACTCGCTGTATTGATGCCGGGTGGTGCGTTGCGTTTGGCCTCCGGGGAGACAGCGCGGCTCTCGGTCGTCATCTGACTTGAGGATGCCTCTTCGAGCAGATGTGCGAGGTCTTGCTCCTCAAAGCGAGCCTCAAAGTTCTCCTCGTCTATGTCCATCTCGTGTCGCTCGTCGGTCGAGGTGGAGCTGCGGCGGTCGCGGGCAGCAAGAGGTTCGCGTTCGTATGTTTCGTCCGATGCAGAGGGAAGAAGCTTAGAAAGTAGGTTAGACGCCATCATGGTCGGACAGTGGTGGTGCGCTCAGGCAACGGCGGGGCGCGTGGCCGTGCTGCGCTGGGTTGAGGGCGTTTGGAGGCTGCAAGAGTGGTCAGAGGACCGAAGGCGTGATCCCAAAAGTCAAGACGAGCCTCCATGAGCACTGACGTAATCCTAGTCAGTGATCATACCAGCGTGATAGAGGGTAGGATGAGTGATGGTCGCGGTTATCGCTGAAGCACATGGCATGCATGCAGGTGACGCGACCGATATCGATAAGGCTCGGCTGCACTTGCCGCTCGTCTGCCCGATATGACACCTTTCGGGGCCCAAGTCACAACACCCATCCAGTCATGTCGGTGAGCTACTTCCAGGAGCGAGCAACTCCCGCTTCTCAGAATGGCACTTCTCCGTCCTCTTCATCCGTAGCCCCTGCATCGCGAGGCACAAATGCCCTCTCGAGCAGGATCACCAGCGTGCTCTCTGCATCATACGCCGACTTGGAAATTCGCGATGCCTTGGAAACTCTGGATGCGCGTGGCGTGCAGAACACCGCCGAAACACGACGGCAGTTGCGTTTAGATGTGCAGAAGGATGTCATCGAGTGCAATGGCGAGATTATCAAGGACTTTGGCCAGGTTGCGGAAGTATGATAGAACACCAAGTATCAAGAACATCGGACTAATCTCCACTAGCAACTGAAACGTATCGGGACTGCTATCAGTAGCCTGAATACGTACTGCGCGGATATGCGCGGTCATATTGAAGCTGCCAACAGAGAAACTGGACCCGTCCTGGAGGAAGCCACAAGCCTCATAACCCAGAGGAAGCAGGTCGAATCTAAGCAGCAGATTCTGAACGCCTTCACCACTCACTTCCTCATATCGGAAGAAGACGCCACTATCCTGACCTCCACTGCTGAGCCTGTCAATGAGGAGTTTTTCCAGGTCTTGACCCGCGTAAAGAAGATACATCACGATTGTCAAGTCCTGCTCGGGACCGAGGACCAGCGGTTGGGCCTGGAAGTGCTGGAGCAGAGCTCCAAGCAACTCAATTCAGCCTTCCAAAAACTGTATCGGTGGATCCAACGCGAGTTCAAGACACTGGATCTAGAGAACCCACAGATCAGTGCTTCTGTGCGCCGGTCTCTGCGCGTGCTGGCTGAACGTCCAACTTTGTTCCAAAGCTGCCTAGACTCGTTTGCCGAGGCACGAGAAGCCATCTTATCTGATTCATTCCACGCTGCGTTGACCGGATCGACATCAGAAGAGCACATAGCCACCAAACCGATCGAGTTTCATGCCCACGACCCACTCCGCTATGTTGGAGATATGCTCGCGTGGGCACACTCCACGACAGTATCCGAGAGGGAGGCGCTCGAGAACCTGTTCATCTCAGACGGCGATGAGATCAAACGTTCTATCCAAGCAGGTCTTGAAAGTGAGCCGTGGCTGAGAGGCGATGAGGATGCAGAAGTCTTCGACGGACGGAAAGCCCTAAATCAGCTCGTCAGCCGCGATCTCACGGGTGTGGCGCGTCTTTTGAGGCAGCGGACCGAACAGGTTGTCCAGAGTCACGACGATGCAACCCTTGCTTACAAGATCGCAAACTTGATTGGTTTCTATAAAGGAACCTTTGCCAAGCTACTTGGAGCAGATTCCGATGTCTTGGATGTGTTTGATACACTAGAGGCTTCTGCGATGCGACAGTTCCGTGCTAATATGAGAGATTACGTCGCCAATGTCCAGAGCGACCTCGCTGTTGCGCCAGCCGATCTGTCCGCCCCCGAATTCCTGGAGGATGCACTCCAAATGCTTCGAGTACTTGCGAAAAGCTACGATACTTCATTTGCCGCAACGGATGACAACGGGCAAGGATTCCAGACTGTACTTGCGGAATCTCTGGATCCATTCTTGAATGGTTGCGAGAACCTGCAAAAAGGAATGAAACTGCCTGATAGCGCCATCTTCGCCATCAACTGCCTCTTTGCGGCTAAAGAGGTCCTCTCTCAGTATACATTCGCTAGCGAACGGGTCCGCGATATTGACGATACAATCGATGAGCACGTTGCGAGGTTGACAGATTACCAACATCAGTACTTGGTCCATGAATCGGGTCTCATCACCCTCATCAATGCGCTCGAAGGGATTACCGACTCGCCAGAGAGTCTCAAGACCATTCCTGATTTGGATGCGTTCAAGCCGGACGCACTCGTGGCAGCCAGTCAGCAACTCGACGAGTTCTTGCCGTCTGCTATCATTGATGCATCGGAAAACATCAAGCGGCTGCGCAACAGAAATATGATACAGGACATCACGGAAGAAGCAGCCGGCAAGTTCTGTGAGGACTTTGAGATTGTGGAGGCCAAGATGATGGCTGCTGATGATCTGACATACGACGAAGACAAGGAAGACGAGGACCAGGAACCCGGTTTGAGGGATATGTTTCCCCGTACCAGTGGTGAGATACGGGTGCTGCTCAGCTAAAGGGCTTGATGTGGCGAGTATGTACAAGCCTGTAGATGTTGCCACCAAAAACCACCTCCTTTACGCATCGTATCCATCAGTCGTGACTCGTGATGCGTAGACTCAAAGTCATAACCTCTTAAGCATCCTATTTGCTACCACACGTTGGTGTGACCACTCTTTACTGCGGCTTCTTCTTCTCCCACTCTTCTGGTGTATGACATTTAGGCGTCCATGCATGTATCGCGGCAATCTCCTCTTTCAATGTCGAGTTAACTAGCCGGTGTCGTGCTAGAGTAGTCTTCTTGGCGAACTGTGGTGATACGATGATAGCCTCGTACATTTGCCCGCATCCACCTAAAATGCGACATTAATTCATACTCGTGACTCCAGTTCCGAACCTAGCGCTTTTCCAGCCCAAGAACGCGCTCGTGAGACGATCACTCTCCATCTGGAACCACTGTTCTGCGAGAAATAACAAAATATTACGTACCGCTCAAGTCTTCAATCTCGACATAAGTTGCGCCCAAACCCTCCTTCAACTTCCTCTCCAGTCCGTCCATGGTAACGCCAGAAGTAGCCTGCACGTTCGCCGCTTCCTCGTCCGTCCTTGCACTCATACTGGTTCTGGTGTCTGGTGCGATGGCAAGATTGTCAAGAGTTTTGTAAAGTTTGTGTCGCGGATCCATAAGGCGATGGTGTGATATTGACCTTTGGTGTTCCTATCTTCGGATCTGATAAGATGCGGTTGCCGAATGGGGAAAGACCGGGACTTTGGGAGGGGAGGGGCTATGACGCATCACTGCAGGGGTGGGCAGGCGCGGTGGATCGGCATTGCTGCACGCGTGGGTTTTGCTCTGCATTGTGAACCCAAGAGCTGCATGTTCATATCGACGGCACGACGATTCGCTATGACTACTTCGGCGCCTTTCTCGAGGGCGGTGGTGAGGGCGATGCAGAAGCTGTAAGTTCCCTGGGAATGCGTCGGACTATGCTCGATGCACCGCGCTATGTGTTTTCAGGTATTGACAAACGTGAAGGTATCCGAAGGAGCTTGCCGACAACTCCTGGGATAACACCGGGCTGCTGCTTGAGGCGCCGTTCGATCCGTCGCGTCGCCAGTCCAACACCGCCCTCCTTACCATCGACCTTACCAAAGCCGTCGCGGACGAAGCTATTGCGCTCAACTCCTCAATCGTCATCGCATACCACCCCATCATATTCCGAGGCTTGAAGTCGTTGACTCTCGCCGACACGCAGCAACAATCGTTACTACGCCTTGCTAGCCATGGCATCAGTGTGTACTGCCCACATACCGCGCTCGACGCAGCTCCGGGAGGACTTGGAGATTGGCTTGCGGACATCGTAACAGGCACGAAGACAATTTACAACATCTCAGAAGCAGATGCACAATCGGAGTCTGCAAGTAATACAAAGGAAGATGATGAGGACCCCTTCATCGAAACGAAGAAGCGCCCGACATTCATGCTGCAACACCACCCTAGCCAGCCCCTACTGCACTTTGGCAAGCAGCCTACGCCCGCCAAAATCCCGCTCACCGCCCCCCATAAACGCGAAACTATCAAACCTCAATCGCCAGCACTAGCATCACACCCCGGAGCTGGCATGGGCCGCATCGTGAAGTTCGATCATCCACAACCGCTCCCAACACTCCTCGATCGCATAGGCAAGGGACTCAACAACCCTAAAGGCTTCCCAATCGCGATACCCCAGGAGAAGGCAATCGCAGATATAGAGATACGTAGCGTAGGCATCTGCGCAGGCTCAGGCTCAGGTCTGCTGAACGGTCTAGACGTGGATCTATTGTTCACAGGCGAGATGGACCATCATTCGGCCCTTGCAGCGATTGAGAACGGAAGAGCTGTCATCAGTTTATTCCATAGCAATTCTGAGCGCGGCTTCCTAGCAGAAGTTTTGCTTTGGCAATTGGAAGAGGCGGTGCAAGAAGAGTGGGGTAAGATTAGGGAGGAGGAGAAGGACAACGAAGCGCTGCAAGAGGCATTGGAAGATGATGACTTCGAGATTGCTGTCAGTGAAGTTGATCGCGATCCTTATGGCATCGTAGTGTTGAAGGGCGATGCAGAGGAGGCGGCGTAGCAACAGCACGTAGAAAGTGGATGAATCGAAGATCATAACGATGAGACAGACTACACGAGGTTTGGTGGGGTCACAGAGGTTTACCCCACATCATCACCCGCACAACGCCGACACATTCGACCGTAACTTATCTGCACGCCGCGTTTCTCGAAAGCTGAATTGGAGAATATAATTGATGAAAGTTCCAATTTCTCAACTCACAACCGGAGCGCCTTCAGCGCTATCCGCTCAACATAATCCTCTGTGGCGCAATTGGCTAGCGCGTCTGACTGTTACATCTGTGGCTATCAGGAGGTTGGAAGTTCGAGCCTTCCCGGAGGAGGATTAGTTTTTTTGCTCATCTAGCTACTTCGCTGCTTCCTATCATCTGCTGTGGCATCTTGACTCTTTTTGCAAGTCTTCGTTGTCTGGCTGAGAAAAATGTACGATCCCCGGCATAAGAGAGTGTAGCTCGACTACACTGCGGTACAACATGTACCCATTCAATGTCTATTACACTTTCAATAATCATCTCCGACAAGATAGTCAACCTCCCCTCAACGAGCTATGCAGTCTTAATTGCACGTAACCAAGCGAGATTAACACCGCGCATCCACGCGTACAATAACACACTGCTTCGACATGGTATCGTATAAGCCAAACTCGCTCACCGTCCTCAAGCATATCTCCTCCAACCTAGCCTTCACTACAACCATGCCTCCTTGATCCAGTTGATTCCTCATGCCAACTTCTGGATTCCCGCCCGGTGAGCGCATCTCCGGCCCCAACGACGGCATGACCCTACTCAAAAGCCCTCTAACCCCCTGCCTCTGCACAGCACTCTCCACGCCTCTCCCCTCTCCCCTCGGACTCCTCAACACCGGATTCGCGTTCAAATTCTCACTTAACAGACGCTCCAACTCCACAATCACAACCTGTGGTCTCCAAAACTCTGTGCGGTTCATCTGGCCCTCTAACCGCACGACTTTCGGTTCGTCTTCGGACGAGAAGCCGACTACCTCTACGGGTTTGGTGTCGGCTGTGTCGAAGCTGAATTCTGACTTCTCTTCGACTGCGGGTAGGGGGATGTCGGAGGGGAGCATGGCGATGGTTGTTTGGGCGATGCCGTATGTGACGCGTTCTTCGATGAGGGGGATGATGTGTCTTTCGATTACGGATTGGATGTGGTGCGTGCGGGTTGTGCTTAGTTGATTGAGGATAGTGGTGCCGCGTGAGGAGGTCGAGGTGTTGTACTCTGAGTACGGTGGTGGAGAGGCTTGTTTCTCGTTTCGTGACATTGTTGTGGTGTTGACTAAACTTGAGACGTGTGGTTGTTCAATGTTTTGGTATGTCTAGAGCGAAAGTATGGATGTGTCGGCATGGGGATTCCGGGCGTTGCTGCAGCAAGTCGTGGACTGTGGTCGGATACTTGCTCTCGTTACCGAACTTCTACGACTACCTAGGTACCTACTTTGCTGCAGTGGCGATAACTGGAACGGTCTTCACGGATATCGAACGGATCACGGCAGGCGCATACCGGAGTAGTTACAGTTTCTAGAAGCCTGTGACTCCGTGCTCATATGGCGCAGCTTTGACTAGTCCCAAATCGCATATACATCAGTCTCGTGATCGTACGAGCCATGGGAATAAGGGCGCAATGATGTATTGCCTGGCGTGGGTAAGCGAATTGTAAGCGTGTAGATACTCAATCACGAGGTGTCCGGGCCGAGAACCTTGGCATTGGGTTTCGACTCTTGAGGGTGGTAAGATGTGTAGGAACTTCAAAAAGTGAGTATGTAGAGGCGGAGGCTATGCGACGCGGCGGACAGACAGCTTGCGCATATTTCTGGTGGCCTGGAGATCGCCTTACCGGCCCTTCTCTTTGAGGGGTTTAAAACATAGTTGAACGGCGGCTGCGCACTTCGTAAAGCTGCCTATTCTGCTCACCGCGCGAGAACCATACTCTTGCGAGATAAAGCGTTTCTTCAGGCCCAAGGCACATGGGGTGGCTGTGAGGCGCAAGGCACACTCCAGGCTGCGGCGCACTACTCCTTTCTCGGATTAGCCGCATGGGCCGTGCACAGCATGCTGCGGTCTCCACCAACACCATCACAAAGATGCTCACCGAGAAGGTCACTCGTTGCCGGAAATGCGGATGAACGAAGCATCTTAGAAGATGTCGTGATGCATATAAGAGTAACCATGGTCGCCGTTAGCTCAGCCTCATACTGCGCATTATCCTTTGAAGCGCCCCAACTTTGGTTGATACCTCCTTGTCCTTTGAGCACATTACCACTCTTCATATAAACCATACATAGTCCCACGCATTTCTGAATACATACAACTTGTACGTCTTCAAGTAACACCGCATACCAGACCCAGACACCTACAACCTCGACATTGTACATTACACTCCCAAAAACACCTCTTATACCTCAACCGTCAACATGTGGTACCACGTAGCCGAGCCCAATTCCTACCTCGTCATCACGGGTGTAGGAATTGAGAAGGTCTTGATTAAGAAGAAGGCCTTCGTATACCCTCTACAGAAGGTCTCCAAGATCTCCATCACACCTTTTGACTTCTCCATGGCCCTCCAGGCTATGACTATTGAGAAGCTTAAGTTTGCCCTACCAGCCGTATTCACTATCGGTCCCGCGGATAGCCCCGAAGCACTTGAGAAATACGCCGTACTGCTCACTGGCGAGAGCGATGGAAGCCCTACCCAAACGGCGGCCAAGGGAGTTGTCTCGGTTGCTGAGGGTCGCAACCATGTTCAAGAGATTGTTAAGGGTATTATTGAGGGCGAGACACGAAGCATTGTCTCGACCATGACTATGGAAGAGCTGTTCCGTGAGCGAAAGATTTTCAAAGACAAAGGTACGTCTGAACAGGAATCCATGCGAAACATGTACTGACATTCGATAGTTATCCAGCAAGTTCAATCCGAGCTTGACCAGTTTGGTCTTTGCATTTACAACGCCAACGTGAAGGAGCTACAAGACACTCCAGGCTCGGAGTACTTCGCTTTTCTGTCTCGCAAGGCACACGAGGGCGCACTAAACCAAGCTAAGGTCGATGTTGCTCACGCTCGTATGCAAGGTGAGGTTGGAGAAGCAGAGAAGCAAGGAAAGACCAAGCAGGAAGTCGCCAAGATCCACGCCCAGACTGCCGTCCTCGAGACCGAGCGTAAAGCCGAGAAGGCTACAGCAGACGCCAAGTTCACCGACAAGGAGATTGAGATCGGTCGCGACCTCAACGTGGCCCGCATCAACGCCAAGCGCGAGGCCGAACGACGCGATGCAGAGCTCCAGATGGAGGTCGAGAAGAAGAGGGCACTCATGGAGCTTGAACGTCTCCGTGCTACCAAGGTCGTGCAGGCGAAGATTGAGAAGGAGAGTGCGCAGCAACAGGCTGACGCAGAGCTGTACACTCAGGAGAAGTCCGCCGACGGACACAAGTACAGTCAGCAGGCTGAGGCCGAAGCCGACGCTTTCCGTAGCCTACGTGCTGCTGAGGCCGACTTCGAGGCTACCAAGCGTCGCGCTGAAGCCGAGTACTTCGCGCAGGAACGCGCTGCTCAAGCCCACCTCATCACCCAGCAACGCGAAGCCGAAGGTCTCTCTGCGATGGCCAAGGCATACGGCGATATGGCCGCTGTTCTCGGTGGTCCTCAGGGCCTCATGCAGTACCTCATGATCACCAACGGAACCTACGAGAAGCTTGCGAATGCGAACGGCGCTGCCATCAAGGGCCTTCAGCCGAAGATCAACGTCTGGAACACCGGCAGCCAGGGAGGCGAGGGTATGGCGGACCCTTCAGCACCTATTCGCAACCTCTTCCAGAGCCTGCCTCCTCTGCTCAGCACCATCCATGACCAGACTGGTATGGCACCACCTAGCTGGCTGGCGCAGATGCCCCAGCAGAATGGCGACGTGAACAAGATGCACTTGAGAAACGGCAGCGATGTGTCGCCATAGAAGGAGGACGATGGAATCGTGCATGGTTTCTATTGCTGTCACCTAGATCGTTGTTTGCTATACCCCATGGCTAGGAGTTTTCGATACGTTACTGTACTGTCTAATTGTCTCTTTCGTTTGGCGCTACCTCGGTTTGATCACATAGACTCATTAGAATAATACACCAAAGATAAACCCCATCGAAGATCGGAGCGAATGTGATGAAGTGGTCGATGGCTGGCGACGACAATATTCTTTCTTTCGGAGAGCCATACAAGTACGCGTGCCTGTCTTCGGCTCCCTAAGTGGTGGACTCGGATGACTGCGCAATTGCTAGGATGGGTTGTGCGGGATATATTCGCAGGACGTTCCTTTTGAACTCTTTCCCCAGCGCATGTTTGTTCGGCAGGATCCAACATTGGCATGTTGGCAACGACGAGACACCTAGTAGCTGCCCCTCTCATAGTTCATGGCGCTGATGTGAGGCGAAGTGAAGATCGAACATGATACTGTTGTCCGTCCGACGCGAGAACTTTGGATGGCTCCGTGTAGATGAAGGGTCATGAAGGGTCTAGTGAGGTGGACCCAGATGAATCTTGAACGCTGATCCCCTAGGCAAATGAGTAATCTGACCGTCAGCCGATACGACTGCAAAAGGAACTTTCCTTATCAATGAAAGCTTCCCCAGGTTCGAGACAGCGGAACCGGACCCGAAGGCGAGCCGGATGACCTCAGACGACCGCAAACGTATGGAGCGACGGAAGCGTTTTCATGAATAGATAGCTACCCGCAAGAAGATCGTAAGATCTAGCTGAGTCTTCGATATTGCGTCCGCGGTCCGTCGCTTTAGGCGTGCCTGAGTTGCCGTGGAAATATTGAAAATGACGACAATACACCTCAGCCCATTATCAGCCGTCGAACCTTCCCCGTGCGCCGTCTCCACACACACCCCGCCCCCTCAACGTGAAACCTACCACGGCTCACGTCTTTCAACGCGTGTCGTCAGTATCGTGTTATGGTGTCGCGAGGCCGCGAATGAAGCACGAAAGGCTGGAACAGGCAGGGAGAGTTTCTTTGGTTGGGCTGAATGGTGAGGGGAATAAACAGGGCGCGACCCGACGATCACAGTTAGACAGGCTCACTCAGCACAACTGCAAGCGAGGCCGCCTTCTATATACGCGTTCAGTATAGTAAAACCTGCGTCTTACTATACATACTATACTCACCGGCACACGCATGAGCATCCGCACCCAATCCAATCCAATACAATGGCCAAAGGGCTTATCCCAAACAGCCAGAAGCAACTCAGCCGCTGCACTAGATGAATCACCAACGCGCGCTTGTCATGCTTCTCAGGGTGCCCCTCTGCATGCCAAACCGCGTCTTTACCGCATCCGGTCCAACAATTACGCAGTCGACACGTCTTTTGACACGTCTCACGCGTTCGCGGTAGCACATGATCTACCTCGCACGCGTCGCACCAGACAACCGGGCACGGCTGGCTAGACTTGGCGCGCGACGTGCGACACAATTCCATCACGCCTCTCCACACAATAAGCCCAAGTGGATACTACGGCTTATGCTCGCGCGCTGTGACTGGCCGGACAGTGACGGCAGCGAGGAAAACGTTAGGCCTCGGCGTAATGCCTGGGCTAATCGACGCGTGCGGCCGCGAAACTTCAACTTCGGGGTTGGTGATGTGGGCTGGTGCATCCACTTGCTGCATGTTTTATTTTTTCTCGCCGGAACATCGTAAGCAAGGTTGTCTTCGCCGGTCAGGCTTCATTTACACAGAGCATGTGCAGGACTTATTGGCTTCTTGTTCTATGTCGGGTATTGAAACAATTGTTGCATTTCGTCAAAGAGCACCAGCAGGGGGATCCATCGCGTCGTGGCTTAGGGCTAGGTGCCTACCATGGATCATGGGCAATCGGCACAGACCAGACATGATGACGCCTGTGCTCATGTTACGGAACTACTTACGGCACGGCGGTGCGGAGATCAGTGCACGAGGAGGGGCTTATGTGGAACACTCAGTCTCTTCTTCACACTCTTTGCATCTGGTCATTTGGATTCATCCATTTCATTCATTACTAGCTCATCTGCTCGACGCATCTCATCCCTTCAGAAAGGACCAGCTGATCTCTCAAAGTGTACAGGCTCTCGTTCGAACGGTCGTCCTAGCCAGTATCACCCGTCCAACCGATCCAGCCCTCCGGACAAAATCCATATCGAAGCCGATGCCGCCGAAAGACAAGAGATTAGGTATCAGTCGTTCACGCTTCGATACAGTCGTTGAGATTCGTGAAGACTCCATACCAAGGGACGCCGATATCCCA